ATATAAAGTGCCTTTTGAGGGTGTGAACAATAACAACACACCACTCAACCTTTCTTTCTTTCTTTCTCATACAAACCCTAGATTTACAACACAGTTTCCAACTTGGTATCAGAGCAGGTAAAGGCACTTGGGAATACCTTTCTTGTTGACTCTCTTTCATGAGATGAATTGTTGACATCAAACCGCCATCGGATGACGCCAGCAATCCGTACAAGTGTCGGCAGCAATACATGAATCATATATGGTTTGATTTGCCCTGATTTTAGAAGATTTTTGGTATGGCTCTTATCTTTGTTCAAAGCTTCTATGATTTTTAGTAGATTCTTCAAGCAGAAAATCGCAAAAAATCCAGATCTGATGTTGAGCCTTATACACTTTGTTAAATCAGCTTTTCTGCTGGAAAACCTAGACCATTCAGGTCGTTTTTTACCTTGGGAGCAACGGTAAGTGGTCCCATATTTTTCTAAGCCCTAGACAATTTTTAGGAGATTTTCTTCTCCCTCTATTTTGGCGCCAACTTAGTTTTTTGGCCTTTTTTTGTCTCTTAACCGTGTGGTGGCCTAGTTTCTTGGGTCCTTAGTTGTGGTTAAGTACTTGGGGCCCCTTTTGATTGATGCAAAAGTGTTTTGATAGATTATGAAATCATCTAAGGATGTACAGATGGTTTCCAGTGTGTTCTCAGGAAGTGCAGACATTTCCGGTGGTTTGATAACTACTGTTAAACTTGATGAACCAACTTTTAGAGTGGTCCCAATCTGCTAAACTTACCATCACTAGGAAAGGTAAACTGGGATTCATCACAGGAAAGGAGGTGAAGCCAAATCTGGAAGATCCGAGATATGCAAAGTGGGAACAGGATAACTCCCTTGTAATGTCATGGTTGATTTACTCAATGCAACCTCATATTGCCCAAAACTACATGTTTCTTTCAACAGCCAAAGATATTTGGGATAGAGTTGTTGCCACTTATTCGCAAGTTAATAATACTGCTAGAGTGTATCAGCTTCGGAGGGAGGCTTGCAGTATGCATCAGGGAGAGAGATCTGTGGCTATGTATTTCTCTTCTCTACAGTCTATCTGGGAAGAAATGGATCACCTGAAGACTCTTGTATGAAAGGACCCTAAAGATGGCGAGCAACACCAAAAGTATATACAAGAGAATAGAGTCTTTGATTTCTTGGTTGGCTTGAACCCAAAGTTTGATTTTACTAGGCAACATATTCTTAGTGTCGGCATTGTCACTCTTGCTTCTGCATACTCCCTTGTACAAGGGGAAGAGAGTAGAAGGACAGCCATGATGCAACCTCCTATGACTGATAACTTTGCCTTTATGACATCTTGATCCAAGCAAAATACTAGTCAGCACCCTATTATTGAGAATGTTGAAGATGTTGTCAGTGATTATTGCAAGAAGCCAAGACATACTAAGGAAAGGGTCGGAAACTCAATCCTCACTTAAAACTAAAAAAATACAAAACCGGGAGGAAGGGAAATGCTCACTTGGCTATAGTTGGTAATGATGCTCAACCTTCTAATGCAATGGACAAACTCAAGAACATACTGTTGCAGTTGGAAAAGGGTAGTACATCCTCCTCATCTAGTTCTGGACTTAGTAATCCATCCATATGCCAAGACAGGTATTGCACTTGCTTGTTCCACATCTTTTAGTCCTTGGATTGTAGACTCCGGGGCCAGTGCCCATATGACTAGTGTGCCTTCACATTTTACCTCTTATAAGTTAACCCCAGGGAAGAGCAAGATTACTATTGTTGATGGATCTCAGACCCCTATTTCGGGTCAGGGTGAAGTCAAACTCACTCATAACCTTTCTCTTGAATCGATTCTTCATGTGCCCCAGTTACATAAAAGTTTGTTGTCTGTTAGTTCTCTTACAAAATCTCATAATTCCTTAGTGGCCTTTTTTCCTACCCATTGTGTTTTTCAGGACCTAAGCACGAGAAGATGATTGGAAGTGGGAATGAAGATGATGGAGTCTAGCACTTTGATGGACCTTCAGAGCATGGATTATCGAGCCAGACTGAGTCTTGTTCAAATGAGAAAATGAGTTTTTGAAAGTATGGCAATGTCGTCTTGGTCATATGTCTTTCAATTCTGTAGAACTTTTGTTTCCAAACTTATTTGACTCAGTGTCAAAGTTGAACTTTGAATGTGAAGTTTGCCATCTATCAAAACAATGTAAAACCACATATTTTGTGAGTAGTAAAAGAAGTAGTGTTGCTTTTCATTTGATTCATACTGATGTTCCACAACCATCTAAAGATTGATGCTTGCACAGATGCAGATTGTGCATTAGTCGGAGGCAATGAAAGTTACACCACTAGTTTCCCACTTCTAATTTTTGTCAATCTTTAGGATACCTAACAGGGAAGCTAAGAGGTTAGAAAATTATTGAGGGATTTCTTGTGGGAGCTTGAGCAAAAGAAAAATGATCATTTGATAAGATGGGAAGTGGTGACCTAAAGTAAAAAAGAAGGGGGTTTAGGGTTAGGGAATTTAATGAGTAAGAATGAAGCTCTTCTAGGCAAATGGCTTTGGAGGTGGCCTTTGGAAAGAGATAGACTATGGCATGAGGTGGTGGCTAGGATCCATGGCTGTTTTGAAACCAGTTGGGATGTTGGGGTATCCCGAAGAGCTTTGCTCACAACACCTTGGAAGGCAATTTTTGGCACTCTCCCTAAATTCCTTGGGTTTGTAAGGTATGATGTATGCTCTGGAAATTCAATTCTTTTTTGGGAAGATGTTGGGTGGGTACTCAACCCCTAAAAGACCGCTTCCCCTCTCTCTATACTATATCCCTCTTTAAAAAGAAACTTGTCTCAAGGTTCCTTTCCCCTCAGTTCTCCCGTTAACTTTAAATTGGGACTTTGGGTTTCGTAGAGGTTTAAGAGATGATGAATTTGCTTGTGTCTCTGAGCTTTTGCTTCTTCTAGACTCTATTTGTTTAGACCCCCTCCCCCCTCAACCTGATAAAAGAATTTGGACTCTAACTCCAAGTGACTCCTTCACTTGTGCCTCTTTCTTCAAATCCCTTTGTTCTACACCTTCCTCTTGGGTTTTCCCTATTAAAGAAATATGGTCAAGGCCTATAAATCCTAAAATAGTTGTTTTCTGTTGGGCAGCCTATTATGGTAAGATCAATACTTTGGATAACTTGCAAAAGAAGAGACATTATTTGTGTTTGCCCCCAAAATGGCGTATTTTGTCTAAAGTGAAGAGTAAGGATTGTAACCACTTGCTGATATCTTGTTCTTTTGCTACTAATATTTGGAATTGGGTTTTAATGTTATTTGGGCGCAGGTGGAACTTGCCCTCTGAAGTAAATATGCTTTTTGAACCACCTACCTTTAAGCGACTGACAAAAAGAGGGAAAATGATGTGAAAGTGTATCAGAGCAGCTATTTTGTGTACAATTTGGGAGGAAAGGAATGCTAGAATTTTCCAAGAAAATGAAAGAATCCTTGCTGAAGTAAAGGAGTGCATAATGATAAGGACATTTTTTGGCTAAAAACTAAAGGCCTTTTTGTGAATTATTCTTTTGACGATTTTCAGAGAAATTGGGCAGAAATGGCATCTAACTTTGACAAGAGCAATCAAGGTTATCTAAGGCCTTCAAGTATAGGAGGGATTTTGAAAGATAAAGATAACAACATCCTAACCTTATTTTCAGGACTAGTACGAATTGGTGACTCTACAAGGGCTGAGATAATGGCAGTGGTGCAAGGAATACTTGAAGTGGAAATTTTGATAGTTGAGGGGGACTCCGGACTCTAAGGTGGTAGTGGGCTGGTTGTCGAATCCAGAAAGTCTTATGGGGCTACAGGGATCTTCTTAATAAAGCTAATTGGCTTACAAGGAATATGTCAGTTAGATTTCAGTGGTTTAACAGATTGGCAAATGCTATGGCTGATTCTTTGGCTAAACAAGGGGTATCAAGGGGTGAATTGTTTTGGGCTACCTTGTAATCGTAATTCTATTTAGAGTGTGCTTATATTCTTAGTTCTAAGGGGAGGTAACATCTCATGCCTCCTTTTAGGCTAATTGTACACTTTTAATCTTCTATAAAACTATCACTCATTTATCAAAAAAAATATATATATATATATCAATACCCAGTCTTTTTTAAACAAATTTGCTTGGATATTAATGACATGCTTTAAAATGTCCACATATTTCCTAATATTTCCATAACATATTTCCATCTCCATGGATACCAACACAAATTTCTGGAATCAACATATTCCCCAATGAAAACCACCAGTAATATGTGGACCACACAAGATTGTGTTATAAAATAATTGGCAATAATATTATTGATATGTGGAGTAGCAGTATTATTGCCCACCTACATAATTACTACTTTGGGCCAGCTTAAAATTCCTTTCAAGTACAAAGTTAAATCTTAGTTTTTGTTTGTAGATATGTGGAGTACTTGTAGTGCAGCATATTATTTTGTCTATTAACCATCGTTCCTTAGCTTTGTCTGATGATTTGAACATGATAATAATTTAAAAGGGTGTACTTATGCTTCTTTTATCATTTCCTCAAATGTAATTGATATCCAATCTGAAATGATCATTCAGGTAGACATCAAGATCAGCAAATAACACTGCTGATGAACCAACAAGATAAGTGGTAACTAGGGAAAATCTGTTTGGGGCACCAGGCCAGGGGGTTATTGTAACAGGGTATGGTCGTATGGTGTACCATGAGATGTCAGCCTATGAAATTTTTACTTGTTTTCTCACTTTAAACTTTTGAAGTTCAGGGGTCCACTTCAACACATAAATGAAAACATACTTACTGTTTGACTGTTACTAATCAAAAGAAGAAGTTTGTTTGCCAGTGCGATACAGCACCATTGACAATAAAAAATAACAGAATGGACATAACTAGAAGAATTTACATAGATGTACCTAATTCATAAAATAGTCACCGTGCACGATGAGAAAATGCTAGCCATGGATGATGTTGTGCAATACCTGTAGTGGCGGTATTGGAAAAGTGGCCGAGCACGTGGACGGAATGTAGCAACTGGTGAATCATCCCTGAAAATTGGTAAAGGTATGTGTTTCAAGAGGAAGCATATAAAACACTAAATACAGCATTACTAGTTAAGCCATACAAGTTTTCCTCTTCAAATTATACTACATTATATTCTCATAACTCATAGAGTTGCATGCATGTTCATCAACACTACAAATAAATATGTGCTTACATTTATACTACTTTAAAAAGAATGAATGGTCTCAAGAAAATTTCTGGAATTTTTTGAGGACAAATTTACCCCCCAATATTTAAATTTATTGATAAAAAATGAGGGCAAATAGGGTACTCAGTAATTGATATTAAATGAGTTGAAAAAAGGTAATTTTAAGATATTCAAGCATTCAATTCCCTCTCATTAAATCCAACATTTAAATTATTAACTTGCATTCATGTTCGTTAAATCATGTAGAGAACACTGATGTGGACCCCACTGCTGTGGTCCCCACTGTGTTCGTATGGCAGCATAGCATACGTTTTGTTAATTATGTCAGTGTTAGTAGGTAGTTATTTCAGTTTGTTGTTACAGCTTGTTATTTCAACTTTATTATTAGTTTATTTGCCATGTAAGCAATAAGGGCAATTCAGCCCTTTTACAATTAGTCAGCATATATAAATATTAAGAGTGGGTCGGCAGATCATTAAGATCAACCCTCTCTTCTCTAAATCCCTTCGTGTGCTTCTACTTTTCTCCCTCTCTTCTTCTTTTCTTCTGAAATCTTTTCTTTTTCTTTTCGAATTCAAGATGGATTGTAGTCTTGATCGACTACTTGGTATCAGAGCAAGGATTAGGGTCTCTCATGTGAGTCTGATCCAGCCAACCACATGAGAGTTGCCTAGGGCTGGAAGCTTAAGAGGATCCCTTTTCGGCTGATTCTTGGAGATTATCAGAGACTGTAGCAGCTGTCCAAAGAGTGGATTGTGTTCTTGACAATCAAGAAGAATCAGAGGAAGATAAAGAATCGGCGATAAGTTTCTTTATCAAGACTGAAGGTGGCGATCAGAATTTCTGTTCAAAACCTAAAACTGGTTGCAGAGAAGGAGGTCTTATGTTAGTCCAATTAGATTGACTACATGAGAATTTCCTAGGTTTAGAAGTTTTTCAACAAAGAAGGAGGATCGGCTGATTCTTGGAGGCTACTGGTAGTGTGCGGCTGCTACTAAGAAGATTGTAGAAGGCTGGGAGAGTTCCAGTAGTCAAGAAGAATTAGAAAAGGCTTCGGATCCCCAAGATTAGGGTTCTGCATCAGACAGAAGGTGGCGGCTAGAGATTTTCTTTCATAAAGTAAGTTTTTTTTTGCTTGAGAATAACCTTGAAAGAAACATCTTGGTCTATTCTGAGAGGTGCGGCTAGAAAACCTTTTTTTCTTTCTAGGGTTTTGAGAGAAAACCCTAAAAATTCAGAACTGTTGTTGGTTTCAGATCAGATTTTGAACTGGTTTCATACAGAATTCTGTTTTCCTTATTGTTTGGAAGACCTAGGCCGGCTGTTATCAGTTGTTTAGGTGTTGTTTTCTATTACAGTAGCTTCAAAAGTTTTTTATTGTTAACTCTTGACCAAGAATGAAGTTCAAAAATTAGGGGGAAGGTGTTTTTGGGACTAGCAATTCTGGTAACATGTCTGAGAATGCCTTTCAGATTACAACTATGAA